GGACTACTCGTACGTACCTACCTACTTCCTTCCCTACCTCCTACTACGTTCTTCTTTTCTTTTTTTCTTTTTTTCGTTTTTTTTTTTTTTATATAGCAATTGTGTCTAGAAGTTGCATGTACCTCGACTCTTTCATCAATAAGGTTTAGATAAATGCGAAAAAATTTGTTTAGTGCTTTTCATCTCTGCTGAGACTAGAATCAATTTTTTATGATTTTTACCGATTTCATTGACTAATAAGCCACATATTTCATGGACGCACCCAGAGACAGAGCTAAAGGTGTTCAGTTATTGTGCAAATAGGATAAAGGTAATTTTTTTTTAACAAATATGTATATATTGTTGAATCTTCTTGACATAAGGAAAAATTCTAGTATACTCGTAAAAGGTTTTAAACTATGCTTTAGATCCTAAGTTGAATTCGAACAATGACATTCTAGTATTTTCTTGAATTCCTTTAAATTCATGGCTCCGCTACTAAATGTTATCCCACTCGACCTTCTTTCTGGGAAAGTACACAAATAGCCATTTTCAGAGCTGCTATTTAGGGATTAGCCAATACTTCTTTTGTCCTGAAAATTTAAACTAAAAATCTTAATTTCAGGACTTTGTGTCCTGAAAAATTGAACCGAAAAACTAAAATTCAGGACCATTTGGTTAATTCCTTAAAAGCAGTCCTCTAGAATGGCTATCCGGTGTCATTTCTACCTTCTTTCTTGCCTTAATAATGGAGCTAATACCCTAAAACCTCCTTAAACTGTCACATTTTTGTCAGTTTCCTACTTAAAATATTCGGTGTTCCCAAAATCCCCCTGAACTATATTGCCCTTCATATTAAAAATCCCTCGTTGCTGACCTGGCATAACATGTGTAAACACTCACTTGGGAGTGCGTTGCAGCTGAAAAAAGCCATCAAAATGGCTCATATGGCAGAAAATAATGAGTAGCTAAAACCCTCTTTCACATTTATTTTTTTTAATTGAGTTATATCCACCTTTCTTCCTCATTTTTTCACCATTCTTCCTTTTTTTTTTTTACCTTTCTTCTTTATTTTTCAACTTCTTCTTCATTTTTAACCTTTTTTCTTCGGTTCTCCATATGGGTTTCCTCTGAAAAATTTCTCCCTCTCTTGTTTCCTCTTAAATGATTTATTCTCTTTTTTGTTTTAGTCTTCTTTCATGTCTTACACATATTATTGAAAGAATCCCAATTTAAATCTTCTTATTAAACTCAACACCTTGTGGAGAATAAAGTTGAATCTCTTGAACCTTCTTTATGTAATCTGAAATTACAGAATGTAATGTTTGGCCAATTTATTTTTTATTTGCGAAATCTTATTTTGTGTAATCTCTTTTATGTAATATAAGATAATTTTTAAGAAATGCAACAGCGTATGCCTTTATTTTTATTTTTACTGTGGTACAAAGTGAATATAAATAAGGACTTATTCAATTGGAGTTTAGCATAAAGCACAATAATAATTAAACCTAAAATTAACATAGTACATTAGATATTATTTTGGCCAAAATTCCTAAAATTAACCAATCATCCGAGAGTAATACATCATGAGTAAACTAAATAAAAAACTTTGCACAAACCATAACTTTATATAGTTAGACAGACGCACCTTTAAAAGCCCAACATGGGGTTTTAATATATAAGGGATATAGTTCAGAGGGGTTTTGGGGACACCAGATAGTTTAAGAAGGTAACTGACAAAAAAGTGATAGTTTAGGCTGGTTTTAGGATGAGTTAAATAGTCACGTGTAGTGTTACATGGCACCATTTTTAGATAATTAGGAGCGTGTACTAGGCGCGCCTCTAAGAATACAATGAGGGGTTTATAATATGAAGGGCAATATAGTTGTGACGACCCAAAGGGTCATCACCTGTTTTTAATTGAATTCTATGACTCCGAGGCCTTGAAACCGCATTTAGAGTTGCCTCAATTTGCGTGCGCAGTCCGGGCGCGTAGCCGGAAAGCTTACATATGAAATTCTGTGAAAAATGCTAAGTTTTGATGTTAAAATGAATAAATTTGACCTTGGTCAACGTTTTGGGTAAACAGACCCGGACTCGTGATTTGACGGTCCCGGAGGGTCCGTAGAAAAATATGGGACTTGGGCGTATGCCCGGAATCAAATTCCGAGGTCCCAAGCCCGAGAAATGAATTTTTTAGTAAAATTGTTTTCTGAAATTGTTTAAGGAAATTTGAAGTGAAAATTGATTAGAACGTGTCGGTATCGGGCCCGTATTTTGGTTCCGGCGCCCGGTACAGGTCTTATATATGGTTTAAGTCATTCCTGTGAAATTTGGTTGAAAACGGACGTCGTTTGACGTGATTCAGACCTAAATTGGAAAATTTGATGTTTTATGAAGTTTGAAAGAATTCATAGATTTTGAGGTTTAATTCAATGTTTATGATGTTATTTTGGCGATTTGATCGCACGAATAAGTTCGTAGGATATTTTTGAGGTTGTGTGTGTATTTGGTTTGGAACCCGAGGGCTCGGGTGAGTTTTGGATAGGCCACAGGTTGCAATTTTGAACTTAAAAGTTAGCTGGTATGATCTGACCTGCAGGCTTCGCATTTGCGAAGCCTGGCTCGCAAATGCGAGCTGCAGACCTGGTCCTTCATCGCAAATGCGATAATTTACTTCGCAAATGCGAAGGTGCCCATGATGGCCAGGGATCGCAAATGCGATCTGTATGTCGCAAATGCGACCAAGGTCTCGCAAATGCGATGGTCCGAAGTTTTTGAAGCATTCGCAAATGCGAAAAATGCTTCGCAATTCCCATATCTGCAGAGGTCGGGGTTCGCAATTGCGAACCCCTGTTCGCATTTCCCATAACTGAGACCTGCAATTTTTACACTTAAACGACTTTGAGCTTCATTTTTCATATTTTCTCAAACCCAAACACACTTAGGCGATTTTCCAAGAACAAGTCTTCTTCCAAATCAATTTTAGGTTAGTTTTTACTCATTTCTTTCAATCATTTACATCTTTTAACATGATTTCAACCTAAAATCAAAGATTTTTATGGGAGAAATTGGGTGTTTTGGGTAGAACCTAGGTTTTTAAAAAATTGGTGCTTTGGACCTCGATTTGAGGTCCGATTTCAAAATAAATTATATATTTGAGTTCGTGGGGGAATGGGTAATCGGGTTTTGGTTCGAACCTCGGGTTTTGACCTCATGGGCCCGGGGGCGATTTTTGACTTTTTGGGTAAAACTTTGGAAAACTCATTTTCATGCATTGGGGTTGATTCATTTAGCACTTATTGATGTAACTAAGTAATTTGTGATTAGATACGAGCGAATTAGCGGTGGAATCAAGGGGTAAAGCTATAATTGAGGCTTGAGTTGCGTTCAAGGCATCGAGGTAAGTGTTTGGTCTAACCTTAGCTTGAGGGATTATGAGTTGAGTCATATTTGCTATGTGTTTCTTGTGGAGTACGACGTATAGGCATGGTGACGAGTATCTATACGTCGGTGTCGAGCATGACCGTGAGTCTTAAATTGATATTTGTTGTATTCTTGAATAATACTATGGTTGCAATAGTGAGTAGATCTGTGGTATTGAGTAAAGGATTAGCTTATTTTCGTAGAAGTTATTTATGAGTTGGAAATGATGATAATGGAGATGATTAGAAGTTGAATTGAGATTGGTTATAGCTGGTTCTCCCTTGCCGGGACGAATATACTTGTACTGTTGAGTTCCCTTGCCGGGGTAGAGTATTTTATGGTTAATCCCTTGCCGGAATTTTTGTCATGATTACTGTGAGCTGTATAATTGGAATGGGTTGCGCACCGCAACATTTTTATTTATGTATACATCTATGGATCGTGTTGCACGCCGCAACATATATTATATATGGATCGGGTTGCACGCCGCAACATATATTATATTGGATCAGGTTGCACGCCGCAACATATATTATATTGGATCGGGTTGCACGCCGCAACAGACATTATATTGGATCGGGTTGCACGCCGCAATAGATATATTATATTTATTGGATCGGGTTTCACGCCGCAACAGTTATATATATATACTTATGGATCGGGTTGCGCGCCGCAACAGTAGTGTTATTATATTGTTTTAGATACTGTACTGTTCCTTCACATTTGTCTAGTCTCTGCTAAGTTGAACTGTTTCCCCGAGGCATGTACCCCCTCCCTCTTAACTGCTCATTTCTTGTTTATTTTTCTGCAATATATTGTATATCTATACAGGTTTATTTGGTAGTCTGGTCCTAGCTTCGTCACTACTTCGCCGAGGTTAGGCTAGGCACTGACCAGCACATGGGGTCGGTTGTGCTGATACTACACTCTATGCTCTTTTGCACAGATCCAGGTCCCGGAGTAGCATTTGGTCTTCAGTAGTC